CTGGCGCGCCACCTGCCGGCCGCGCAGGGGTTTGGTCCCCCACCCCAAAACTCCTCTCTTTGGATTTTGCAAAGAAGGGCAGAAAAAGGGGAGCGGGGACCCCGAGTTGGGGTCGGGGTGCGGGTCGGGGCCGGGCTGCAATACCCCTGCGCGGCCGGCAGGTGGCGCGCCAGTCCAAGGTGGCGGTGGCGGCGCGCCGGCGCGCCCGGGGCCTCGGGGCGCCGCGCACCGACTTGGGCCTAACGACTCCTCGCTCGTCATTATTTGTAACCATAGAGCATGAATTACCTCTTGAGGTCATCAGTGAGAATTTACGACTGGTCAACAAAAGCACGTGATTCCCAAACGCACCCCCACCCTCCCCCCATATTTGGCCGCATACATAGCAAAAACGAAGTACAGTGCATTGCTATAATTCATTAATACATCATAAATCGTCAAGCACAGGGTTATAACGACCACGAGCCACAAATCAAGCCCTCCAAAATAACCCAAATGAGCTCTTACTTTGTAAACTCGTTCTCAGGGCGCTACCCAAATGGCCCCGACTATCAGTTACTAAATTATGGGACCAGCAGTTCCATGAACGGTTCTTACAGAGATTCAAGCACCATGCATTCCAGCTCTTATGGCTACAACTACAATGGGATGGACCTTAGCATCAACCGCTCAGCCTCCTCTAGTCACTTTGGGGCTGTGGGGGAGAGCTCCCGCGGTTTCCCTTCTCCAGCTCAGGAGAGCAGGTTTAGACAGGCGTCTAGCTGCTCCTTATCTTCTCCCGACTCCCTTCCCTGCTCCAACAGCGAGAGCCATGGAGGCAAGCCCGCCCCGTCCCCCTCCGACCAAGCTACTTCTGCCAGCACCAACACAAATTTCACAGAACTAGACGAGACCAGCGCGTCCTCGGGAGCCGACGAGGGCACTCCAATAAGCAGCAGCATCCCCCGAGCGCAGGCAGAGCCCATCGCAACCTCCACGGCAGCAACAGAAGGGCAGGCACCTCAGATATTCCCTTGGATGAGGAAACTTCACATTAGCCATGGTACAGCTACTTCTTTTTCGGTCGTTGTCGTTGTTGTTGTTTATTTTCGCACACCCCTCTTTTTTTTTTTTAATCCCCCCCTTTCCCTTCCCACACCCTTCCCCCCCACCCCCCCTTTTTTTTTTCTCTCTCTCTCTCTCTCCTTCCCTTTATTCGGTGCTGGCTCTTTGATCAGAATCGCAGCTATTTATGGCTTTTTGCATTTCTTGCTCTGATCACTGCCTTCAAGCTGCCTCTGGCGCCTGGAAGGGGGAGAATTTCTTTTAGTTTCGCTATTCCGTCCGCGAAACGTGCGCTTATTTCAGGCTAGTAGCGATATGTCTATGGTGGGAGAAGGTAATTTAAAAATTGAGGGAAGGGGGTGTTCCTTTGGGGTGGGGGGGG